GGTGCGCCGCTTCCAGTGCACAAAGAGCACGCTGGCGCTGAAGGAGGCGACGAAGAACGACGCAACGGCGCAGTCGTCGAAGCTGGTGGACTACATCGTATCGCTGACGTTTGGGAGCCATGGCATGTGCACGGATCGTGAGATGTGCAAGTGGCTCGTGGCGCAGCTGTGCGACTGCATCGAGACGGGCCAGATCTGGGTGATGACGAAGACGTACGCGCTGCTGTCCGCCCTGCTGTGGCGTGGGTCGACCGCGTTTGTGGAGGTCGCGCGAATGCATGGCAGGTCTCTGTTCCAGCCCGTCCGTCTGGCCAGCTTGATACGCAGCACGCCGCAGGAGAACCTGCCAGGGACGCGGCTGCCGTGCTCGCTGCAGCCCCTGCTGAACGCCAGTGCTGCGTCTACAGGGAGCTGCCGTGCACCGCTGCCACCGACGCCCAATCCCCATGGCTCCACAGAGACGGCGATGGAGGCGGGACACGGCATCGTCGGCGGAGATGCGACGACCGCGCAAACATCGCCTGCAGCCTCCGGCGTGTTCGACGAGCGCTTCTCGTGCCTTATTGCGAATACGGCCTACTTAGAGTCCCTGTGCGACTACCGCATGCGCCACCCCACACTGGACCTGGCGCATGGCGAGATCGTTGCCACCGGCACCAACGTGGACATCAGCACGGCGGCGGCGATGGACGCCGGCACGCACTGGCCCACCACGTGGAAGGAGCTGCTGGACGACACGCTGGAGCTGATGAAGGCGATTTCGGCGACCAACCCCCAAGGCTGCCCCTGCCCCATCGGGGTCGCGATGGAGACGATGCGCATGCGCAACGCGGTGCTGCTGTACCAGGTGGCGTGCCGTGCGCTGGTGCGGCTCCTGCACGCCGTCCTGACGATGCAGCACATCTTTGTGTCTACGCTGCAGGATGGCCTGCAGGTGCCGTCGTCGGGTCGATCACCGTGTGGCACCCCCAGTACACTGTCCCCCACCGGCAGCGGACACGACTACTTCGGCAAAGACGCCTTCGGTCACATCTACCCCGATTACTCCCTCACACCTGACGTAATGCGCGGCTTCCTGCAGGACTACTACTACGCCATCTACCAGTTCAACCGCACCGTGGGCATCGTAAAAGCCTACTGCGAGTCCGCGCAATACTTGCACGCAGAAACATCGAAGCGGCTGCTGGATGTCTTCAAACTGCTGCCGGAGGCCTCCATTCGTGAGTTGAAGCTCTCCCGCCCCGCTGGCTCGCATCCCCTGCACACGCCCCTCACGAAGCTCCACGACGCGGCGGTGCATTCGGCGGAGGGGGAGGGTAGCGAGGCAACAAACACGTCCGAGACGGCATCGTCGCGCCGCGCCACCTGCCCCTCTCCACCGCTGGCCGACGAGGAGGTGCAGCTAAGCATGCTAGAGGTGTGCGAGTACCACGTCGCGAATCGCGCGTACCGGGAGAGAGTGTGGGATCATCAGGTAGACGCGGTGTGCGGCCTCTTCGAGGACGCCGAGGCCACCATTCTCCAACAGATCTTTCGCGCCGGCCTCAGTGGGCTGTGGGAGCAGTGGCGGGACTTCACGAACAACGGCGCAGCGGCGGCGGAGAAGGCGCTGATGAGCTCGAACAGCTCCGCGAAGCTCGCGGACAGCAGTGGTCCTGGCGTTAACTCATCCGACGGTGGCGTGACGAGCGACTGCTCCCCCAAAAAGCTGAGCAGCACCATCGACAGCCTGACGAAGAGCTCCACCTACATCCTGCGCTCGCTGCCCTTCAGCGTACGAGCAAAAGGGTCGCCGAATGTGAAGTCCGACGTCATCTCCGTGAACCGGTCATCGCTGGAGAACTCGACGGAGAGCGCGATTGACGCGCTGCTGCTGGAGGACGACGTGGTGGTGATCTGCAACGAGGAGTGCTCGTGCAACGACAAGCTGAAGCTGATCGACCGCTTCCAGGTGCTGATGGACGTGCCGCTTGGGGAGGGCAGCTACGGCAAGGTGTACCGCGCGTGGGACGAGGTGGTCGGGTGTTACCTTGCGGCGAAGGAGCTGCAGCTGGACGCGAGCAAGGCGCACAACGTTGCGGTGCGCGAGGTGCTGCAGGAGTACACGGTGCTGACGGAGCTGTCGCACCCGAACATCGTGCGCGTTGTCGCGTTCATGGTGCTGAAGCAGACGGCGCGGATCTACATGGAGTGGATGCCGTCTGGGTCGCTGCAGGACGTGCTGCGCCACCACCCACGCGGGATGCTGCGCGAGAGCGTTGTGCGGCGCTACGCGCGCGACGTGCTGTCGGGGCTTGCGTTCCTGCACTCGCGCGGCGTGATCCACCGCGACGTGAAGCCCGGCAACATGCTGCTGAGCTCTGACGGCGCGGTGAAGCTGACGGACTTCGGCACGAGCCTTGTGCTGAGCGGCAAAAGCCGTACGCTGGAGTCGAACGCTGTGACGGGGACTGCTGCGTACATGGCGCCAGAAAACATGCAGGGCACGCAGTCCCCCGCGTCTGACATCTGGTCGTTCGGCTGCTCGCTTGTGCAACTGATCAGCGGCAACGTGCCGTGGTACAACCCAAAGACGAAGGCGTTGCCGGAGCCGATTGCGCTGCTGTTCAAGATTGGCAGCCTGGATGACGCGACGCACCTTGAGCGCCCCCACGATGTGCTCAAGGACGCTGTGCAGGCTGGGCGGGTGGATGATGACCTTACCACAAACCCAAGTTCCGTCCCGAGTTCTGAGGTGGAGGCTGAGGAAGCTGGCCCGAAGAAGCCGAGTTCGAAGGATGGTGTGGACGCGGAGCTGCTGAACATGCTGGACTCTATCTTTGTTGTGGACCGCAAGAAGCGTCCGTCCGCGAGTGAGCTGCTGCAGCACCCCTTCTTCAAGGTCGCGTGAAGTATGCTCTGTCCTTGGCTGCGAGAAGTGCTGTCTGGAGATATACATATGGCACCAGCGTAAAGCAGCGGTGCTCGTGGCGCATTGTGAATGGTGCGGCGGAGGATGGTGGACCGGCGCTCGCGCTGTGTGTGTTTCTGCCGCCTGCTGTGCGACGTGGGGCGTGGAGATGATTATACACTTATCTCCCCTCACCTTTTTTTTTTTTGACTTTCCTTTTCTCTCCCGCGGTCGCTTATTCACCTGGTGTTGCCTACTGTTGCTGTGGCGGTTACAACAGTAAACCAAATAATAATAATAGTAGTAGTACGGAGAAGGAAAAATAAGAATAAAATGCGAATTCACGACTGTGGTGACGCAGAAGTTCCTTCCTGCACTGGACGACAACCGGCAATAGATTGCAAATATGTATATATGTATAGTTTTTTTTGTTTGCTTTCGCTTGTGATTACGATAATCCAGCATGTGCTCGGTGTGACTTGAATTCGGCTTCGGCGAGTTCTAGCTCTCCGTTGACAATGTCCCGTGCTTTGCTGATTTGGATACCTTAAGTGTTTTATTTTTCCCCCTAACTCTATACACTTGCTTGTACTACGCCTTCTCCCCATCTGCTGAGTCAGTAACTCGAACAACCTTCGCCACCTGCACGCTTCGTGGCCAACACGCGCAACTCCTCGGGTGTTCTCCGGGGAGGAGGAGGAGGAGGGGGAACCTATGAGTCCTCCAGTTGTGCTGTGCGCTCACTCGCCCCTATCGTGCTGGATTGCGTTTTACATGTCCCTATATATATGCACATATATGTATGCTCCGTGGTGTCAGCCCACGGGGCGTGCTCCTCCGTATTATTGTACTCCTCACGCCTTTCCCAAGTGGCGTTGCCGTCTCTCCCCCCCAAACATTTCAACCTTCCCTCCCTCCCTCCCTCCCTCCCTCCTTCTCTCCTTCTTCTTTTCTTTTTAAAAACTCGTTCACCTCCCCGTTTTTGTGTATCTCTCGCGTTTTGCCAGCAGCACAGAATCGCACCACCAACGGCTCCCCGCCTTGCTTTCAAGAACAGAGAGTGACCCATGTGAAGTAGACTTGCGACACCTGTCGCAGCCATTAACTCGTCCTCTACGCTGCACACACCCGACCTTTTTTTTGTTCTCGGAAAGGAGACGGAGTAAAGTCTCCCCCCCTCCCTATTTTTAAAAGAGAAGATCTTTCGCATCAACAACGTTGCTGAGCGGTACGTCTGTTGATCAACTTCCTTCTTGCTTTGCGTTTTCTCTTTTCCTGTTTTCAGACGGGAGAGAATTCTTTGTGTGTGTGTGTGTGTGAGTGAGTGAGTGAGAGTGTGCGCTTTGTTTTGGCGTTTTTGCTGTTGATTTGTTGCTGCTTTGGTGTAGTGGCTAACTCGTTCATTATCCCTACTTTTGCCTTTTTCCTTCGTCCTCTTGCTCTCGCCGTGCTCTCGCTGCGCTGCCCAGCACGTCATAGTCACATTACCATATATATATATATTTCTCCCTCTATACTCTCTTTTCTTCTAGCCTTGTTCTCTCGCTCCATCTGGCGGTATATATATATATATATATCTTTTCGCTTAACACGATATATACAGTTATATACATATATTATTGGAACAGACAACCAAACCTGCTAAGACCACGCATCATAAAAGAGATTTCTTTCTCGCGTGCGACAGCGCATTCAACAACCGCGACCAAAAGAAGAAGAAGAAGAGACAACGCGAAAGTGCGGCGCATAAGCGAATTGTAAAAAAAGGATAAAACAAGTGTTGTTATTTCTATTTGTTTATTTGTTTTACTTCTCCCAGTGGTCTTTCTTCTGTTCCCCCCCCCCCCCCTTCGACGTTGTGGGAGTAAACCCTTCGCGAGCAAGTATTCGTTTCTCTTCGTTTCTGCCTTCACGACTAAAACGTGAGTCTTTCACGGCCATGCACAGCTCCAACACCTTCAAGGATGAGCCGACGGGGCGCCCCGCCGCCGCTGACGATGCGGAGCAGGAGCAGCTGATGCGCACCATCGAGCAGGCCGCGCTCGCCATGACGCGGGCCCATGAAAACGATGATCCAGGGTGGCTGATGTCGCCGAAGGAGCACCGCCGGCTGCGGGTGCCGCAAGATAGCGTCGACGACGGCGATGAGAGCTTTGTGGCGGAGGATAAGCGCCGCGTGAATTGCCTGACGCTGGATCAGCCGACGACCGATACGGTGCCCGGTGTGCTGCCCGCAACGGAGAAGCGCGCGAAGGACGAGGTGGACGTCGCAGCCGCCGGGGTCGGGCTGGAGGTGCGCCGCTTCCAGTGCACAAAGAGCACGCTGGCGCTGAAGGAGGCGACGAAGAACGACGCAACGGCGCAGTCGTCGAAGCTGGTGGACTACATCGTATCGCTGACGTCTGGGAGCCATGGCATGTGCACGGATCGTGAGATGTGTGAGTGGCTCGTGGCGCAGCTGTGTGACCGCATGGAGACGGGCCAGATCTGGGTGATGGCGAAGACGTACGCGCTGCTGTCCGCCCTGCTGTGGCGTGGGTCGAGCACATTTGTGGCGGCCGTGCACGAGTACGGCAAGGCGATGTTCCAGGTATCCCACATAGAGCGCTTGATACGCAGCACGCCGCAGGAGAACCTGCCAGGGACGCGGCTGCCGTGCTCGCTGCAGCCCATTCAAAGCGCCTCTGCGGCGCAGAAGTCTGCGTGCGGCAAGGCAAAGCCGCACCCTGAGTGCCCCATCCAAATGATCAAGCGGAAGGCGTGCGCAGCGAGTTACGGGAAGGGCTGCGAGAGCGGCACCACTGACACGCTGAGTATGGTAGAGAAGGACATGAACTTCTTCATCACAAACGTTGCCTACATGGAGTCCTTGTGTGAGTACCGCATGCGCCACCCAACCCTGGACCTGGCGCATGGCGAGATCCTTCTGACGGACTCATTGGACTGCACGGCGAAGACCGACCCAGCCAGCGCGGCAGAGTTGAAGAAGACGCATTTGCCGACAGTGTGGAAGGACCTGGTGGATGACACGTTGGAGCTGATGAAGGCGATTGCGTCCACTGACACTCAAATTCCAACCAACGGGCTCGCCACTGCTGCCGCCACCTCCCGTGTGCGGGAGTCGGTGCTGCTGTACCAGGTGGCGTGCCGTGCGCTGGCACGCATGCTGCACGCCGTCATCACCGTCTCCCACACGCTCGTGGCGTCCATTCAAGCCGGCCTGCAGGTGCCGTCCTCCAATCTTGCTCCGTCCGGCGCGGCGTCGAAGCCGCCTTCCGGATCGTTCACCTCCAACCTGCTCGGTGCCGCCTTCGACCCGAGCGTGCTGGATTACTCCCTCACACCGGACATGTCGCATGCCTTTGTCGCAGACTACTACTACGCCATCTATCAGTTCAACCGCACGGTGAACATGCTGCGGACGTACTGTCAGACGGCGAGTCACCTCGATGCGGAGACGTCCAAGAAAGCGTTGGCTGCCTTCAAACTTTTGCCGGAGGACTCCATTGTGGCGCTGAAGAAGTCACGCACCGTGTTTGAGCACCCCGAGTGCTCGGCGACCATCGGCCGGCTCTTTCGGGCTGCCCAGCGCAGTGCGGCGATGCGGGAGTCCGACGCGGGCAGCGACGTCTTGAGCTCGCTGCCGTCGGAGTTCGATGCGGCGTCGCGGGCGACAGAGACGTCTCCCATGAGCGACGAGGAGGTGCAGCGGAGCATGCTGGCGGTGTACAAGTTCCACCTGGACCACGAGGAGGAGAAGGAGCGCATGTTGAATGCCCAGGTGGACACGGTGTGCAGCCTCTTCGACGAGGCCGAGGCAAAGGCGCTGCATTGTATCTTCAAGACAGGCGTCGATAGGCTGTGGGAGCAGTGGCGGGACTTCATGAACAACGGCGCGGCGGCGGCGGAGAAGGCGCTGATGAGCTCGAACAACTCTGCGAAGCCCACGGACAGCAATACGCTCGGTTTGTCGTCGTCCGACAACGCCGCTTCCGGCGATCGATCCTCCGGAAAGCAGAGCAGCACCATCGACAGCCTGACGAAGAGCTCCACCTACATCCTGCGCTCGCTGCCCTTCAGCGTACGAGCAAAAGGGTCGCCGAATGTGAAGTCCGACGTCATCTCCGTGAACCGGTCATCGCTGGAGAACTCGACGGAGAGCGCGATTGACGCGCTGCTGCTGGAGGACGACGTGGTGGTGATCTGCAACGAGGAGTGCTCGTGCAACGACAAGCTGAAGCTGATCGACCGCTTCCAGGTGCTGATGGACGTGCCGCTTGGGGAGGGCAGCTACGGCAAGGTGTACCGCGCGTGGGACGAGGTGGTCGGGTGTTACCTTGCGGCGAAGGAGCTGCAGCTGGACGCGAGCAAGGCGCACAACGTTGCGGTGCGCGAGGTGCTGCAGGAGTACACGGTGCTGACGGAGCTGTCGCACCCGAACATCGTGCGCGTTGTCGCGTTCATGGTGCTGAAGCAGACGGCGCGGATCTACATGGAGTGGATGCCGTCTGGGTCGCTGCAGGACGTGCTGCGCCACCACCCACGCGGGATGCTGCGCGAGAGCGTTGTGCGGCGCTACGCGCGCGACGTGCTGTCGGGGCTTGCGTTCCTGCACTCGCGCGGCGTGATCCACCGCGACGTGAAGCCCGGCAACATGCTGCTGAGCTCTGACGGCGCGGTGAAGCTGACGGACTTCGGCACGAGCCTTGTGCTGAGCGGCAACAGCCGTACGCTGGAGTCGAACGCTGTGACGGGGACTGCTGCGTACATGGCACCGGAGTGCGTGCAGGGGACGTACTCATCCGCGTCGGACATCTGGTCGTTCGGCTGCTCGCTTGTGCAACTGATCAGCGGCAACGTGCCGTGGTGCAGCCCCTTTACAGGCAGCATGCCGGAGCCGATTGCGCTGCTGTTCAAGATTGGCAGCCTGGATGACGCGACGCACCTTGAGCGCCCCCACGATGTGCTCAAGGACGCTGTGCAGGCTGGGCGGGTGGATGATGACCTTACCACAAACCCAAGTTCCGTCCCGAGTTCTGAGGTGGAGGCTGAGGAAGCTGGCCCGAAGAAGCCGAGTTCGAAGGATGGTGTGGACGCGGAGCTGCTGAACATGCTGGACTCTATCTTTGTTGTGGACCGCAAGAAGCGTCCGTCCGCGAGTGAGCTGCTGCAGCACCCCTTCTTCAAGATGGTGTAGGACAGGCGTCTGTGCTTTTTCTTTCTGTGTTTTAACCTTCCTTTTTTGGTGGTGTTGTAGCGTCACACCTGTTCCTCTGTTGTCTCGATTGATGCGTAGCGTAGGAGAAGGTGCTCGACGTAGATAGCAAGTGAGATACGTTCTCGAAACGATATATATATTTGTAAAGAGTATAAATATGGCTGCTGTAGGAAGGGATACTTTCTTTTCGTTGTTTTGAGTGTTTTGTTTTTTGATGGAATTGTGCTCCTGTGCTTTCCCTCGATCCCCTCCATGTGGGAGATGGGGAGAGAGAGCTACCCTCTCCTTCTTTGGTTTGCACCTTCGTGTGGTGGGCGGAGACGTTCCACGGCACAGCAGCAGAGTAAGGACGGAAAAAGGAGCGTGACGACCTTATTTTTCAGTGGCGGGACAAACTGCGTTTATACAAAAAGAAATATGCGAATCTTCCTCACCGAGTAAGCCGCTACCGGTCCTCCTTTATTTTCCTTTCCAGTTTTCATGCGAGCGTCTTTCTTCGGGGAGGAGGTTCTCGCTCCGTCTTTGCCTGCTTCGCCCACTGTGTCGCTGCCCTTCATTTTCTCTGTGTTTTTTTTTGTTATTCACACGTTACTTTGGAAGCAACGAATGCTGTCCGAGCAAATTTACCCTCTACGTCTGGCTTTGTTCTTTTAATCTTGATTCGAGTGTGTTTCTTTGGGGTTTTCTTGTCCGATACGATAACATGAATTCGAATCTTGGAACTGGTGACCTTCGCGCGATCTTTTGTTTCTTTTTCCTTTGTTGCTGTTGAAGTTTCACCGTTTCCCCTTTGTTTGTTTTTGCCTCCCCCCTCTTTTTTTTTTCAATGTTTGGGTTTCGGTTTACCTTCTTTCTCGCCTGTGCTGCCTCGAGAGTTGTCCACTCCCCCTCGCTGGGAGGTACGACTCTTGTGTTTTGATTTTGTTTCCTCTCGAATGCGTCTTACGCAAATGGATTTTTATATCCCCCCCCCTTCTCTCTCCCTTGTTGCATGTCCCATTTTTCAGGTTTATATGCCCCCCCCCCTCCTCCCTCTCCCCCATCTACCACCATACTTACGATTCAAGCAATCCATATATTTATGGGGCTTTTCTTTCTTGTTCTCTTTCTCTTTCGGGGTACAGTTTTTTGATCGTGCGTGCACGCATCGCTGAAGGGGCCATTCACTAACACAAACACACCCTCACTGCATTGACGCATTGTAAGCAAAACAGAGAAGAAAAAGAAAAAGAGAGAAAAAAGCTGTCATGGCGCCGCGAATTCTCTTCCTCGTTTTGCAGGAGTTTCTGTGATTATTTTCCTGTGTTGATGCGACCTTCACCTTCCCCTCTTTCCACTCTTTTTTTTTTTGTATGTCTTCTTAAGAGTTGTGCAGGAGAGCTGGAGTCACAGCTATCTTCGAGGAGGTCGATGATGGAAGAGGTATGTGGAACGTGCAATGTGGTGTATGTGTGTGCGTGTGTGTGTGGCACCTCGTGGTGCACGTCTGAATCGAATTCACGTTCCTTGTTGACACACGGGTTTCATAAAGGCTGAAGGTGGCTGTCATTTTTTTTTCCTTTTTGGTGAACTCGCAGAGCTGCGCGCATAACAGAAAGCAGAGGCGATTGGAGCCACAACAGCCGCTCTGGCGAGTACCACGCAAGTAGAACGAATGGCGTTCGCAAGCTTAAAACAAAAAACAAGCCGACTTTTCAACAGCCGCCGCCACCGCCGCAGCTTCTGTTTATTTGTTTTGTTTTTCTTTTCGGTTTTGCGAACCATTAAATTAGTTTCTTAACGCAGATACATCTTCTTTCTTCTTTCTATTTATCTTTGGTTTCTTCTTGATTTATTTATGACGGTGTCCGGAGTTGATAGAGCCCTGTGTGTCCTCGAGGTGTTTCGCGGCTGTCGTATCAGCCGCGACAGTTGACTCGTCGTACTCGTTTGTTCTTCCAGTATTTCAGGTTGATGGGTGGAGTGCTGTTTTTTTTTTTCTCCTATTACGCTTACGGTTTCTCCCATGACGGTGCTTCTCTTTACGGAATATCTGCAGCCGTACGCCAAAAGCAAAAAGCAAGAGAATCAGAATTCATCACCACAGCTCCGGTGAAGCAAAACAACAACAACATGGGGCAGCAATGGTTTCCACAAGGCTCTGCGATTTGGCATCGGTCAACGGTACTTGCTATTAGGGAGGCCGGTAATGCTTCACACAGCAGATACAGGCGGGGGAGAGGAGAGAGGGCTGTTTTTCCGCTTCTACTGCCTTCACCGTGACATGTATTATTATTGTTATTATTCTTGCTTTTCAGCCGTGCCAGCGGCGATGCAGGCATAGGATTCAAGAATACTACTACTACCAACAATAATAGTGGGAAGCGCTCCATGTTGTGCTGTTCGGTATGAATTGCTCCATTCAGAGCTGCAGATAATGATCAAAACCTTTGTCTCTCTCCCTCTCCCCGTCTTTCTCTTCCTTTTTTCCTTTCCTCACTCCTGCAGCACTCTGGTGGCAACGCATCATACGTTGTAGACACACCGCACGACACATGAATTTTTTTTCTTCTAAACTTTCCTTCTCCTTCGTTTCCTTCATCGTCTTTGATTTACTTGTCTGAACGAGCAGGAGCTACAAAAAAAAAAAATGTCGGACGCGGCCCTCTATCATGAGGAGCTAGCCGACTTAGAACAGCAGGTGGAGTCCATTCTCACTGGAGTCGACAACCAACTTAAGCAAACCTCAGCTAGCAGCAATAACAACAACGTGAACGTCGTGGCGGCACGCTCGGCAAAGTTCGCCAAGGCGCAAGACCTTCTTCGTCGACTGAATCGACTCTTGCAGCAGCTGCGGGTTGAGGTGCGCCTGCTGGACGGCGACGAACGCACCGTCTATGAAGGAAAAGTAGCGGAGCACGTCAAGTGCATCGCCTCGTTGAAGGAAAGGGCTCAACAATGCAGGGAGCGAGCTGCGCAGAGTGCGGCGGCTGCAACGACGACGACGGCTGCCGGCTCCAGAAGCACCAGCAACAGCGCGGCCTACCGCTCCGTCGAGGGCGGCCACGGCGTTGTTTGGTCCCCGCGTGAGGGTGCGGAGGAGGACGCGGAGAACGGCGGGGACGGCCCCGCCATGAGCAACCGCCCCGAGGCACGTCAGGCGGCGGGTCGCATCAACGAGGTGCAGCAGAGCACGCTGCAGTCCTTGGGCCAATCCGAGAAGCTGTTGAACGAGACGGAGACAGTAGGCGCCGAGGCGGCGACGACGCTGCGAGCGCAGACGGAGCAGATCAAACACGTGAATGAGGAGCTCGACGAGATGCACGGGGAGATTGGCCGGGCCAGCACGGAGCTGAAGAGTTTCATGCGGCGCATGGCGCGTGATCGGCTCGTGATCTTCTTCATCATCGCGATCGTGGTGTGCATCATTGTGATTGTTGTTTTGGCGGTCGTGAAACACTACGTGAAGTAAGATGGCGCATGCGTGTGTGTGTGTGTGTGTGTAAGATGAAGACAACAGCGCAGCCAACTCGAATGCAGTGCTGTGTACTTGCTTCTACCCTTACTTGTATATCCTGCTTTTTTCCTTTTGTTTGTTCCTTCTTTGCCTTTGAGGAGGAGCTGCAGCAGTGGTACGTGGCCTTTCTCGGCAAGTGGTCGTCTGCTTTACCGAGAGGTGTATTGGATTGCTCTTTCTAGTGGTGCTGCTTTCTCAACACGGCTTTCCTTTTGCTTATCATCTATTCGATCTTGCGTTGCGGCCCTCTGCAGTAATGTTGCCCCCTTGTTACGCGTGCGTCACCTATGGCGTGGGTACGTATACATACATATATATATATATACATAGAGAGAGAGAGATCCACACAGACATTCCATGGAAGAACAGCGAAACGCGTGTTTAAATTCAAAAAGCCCCGCCTCCTCCTTCTTTCTCTTTTGATGGGAGGCGTGCCGCTCAACGTTTCAAGGAAAGTGACTGGAAAGACTCTCTTTTCTTTTTTTTCCATGGGAGCCTCTGCACCCCGACGATTGAAGCGCAGATACAGAGTGTGTCTCTGCCTGCTTTTAGGCAGGGCCTTGAGGCTAGTTCTCAGCAAAGAATTGGACAGGGACGTCATGTTTGCTGGGTCTTTGGATTTCAACTTCAACTTGTTCCTGTTCGTACCATGACTTTCAACCACAGCTGTAAAAAGTAGCAGTAGTGTCTCTGTCCTCACTTGGGAGCGATGTCATGACCGTCCTTCACAGCGTGTGGTCTTTGCCTGCGTATTCATAGCCAGTGAAATCGATTGCTCCGTATGTTTCGCGCTGTCGTTCCTCTCCCTTCCCCCTCCTCCTCCCCCCCCCCCCCTCGTGCTCGACGTCGTCATCACCGCAGTTGAATAGCGCCTTTAGTTTTTTTTCTTGGTACACGCGCGTTTCACCTCTCCCTCTTCACTCTCGTTAGTAATACTCTTCATTTATTTATCTACTTGCTATCTGCCGCATCTTGAATCCGCTTCCTCTCCTTTTCTGAGGTGTCGCGAGAGATGGGCCAGGCCGCCTCTTACGCCGAGTCGTCGGTGCAGCGCGCCCTCCTCAAGCTGAAGCAGGAGGAGCAGACGGAGGAGGATGAGCTGCTGCGTCTTTGCGGCTACCGCAGACCTGCCGTCTCGACCGCCGTCGCTGCGCCTCCGCGACGAGACGGGCCCCCCGCGCGGGAGGGGGACAGCGGCGGATCCAACGCTCAGAGCGTGGGCTGCAACGCGCATGAGACGCTGCCCCCACCGCCGGAATCGCTCGGACCCTTTGTCTCGCTCGCACCGGAGTACTACTCCCTCGACGAGCTGCGCGATGCGCTGCGCTACCTGCCCGACTCGTTGTGGGTCAGCCTCTACCGCGTCTCCTTACTGTACATCCTCGACAACGACCACGACGGCCGCGTCAAGTCGACCGACATTAGCTTCTTCATGGACTGGGGCATCAAGACGGTGGGCCGGGGCGTGCCGCCGGAGCAGCTGGCGGAGGTGCTGCAGACGTACGCGGCACTGCACTGCCGACACCGCTGCTTGCAGGTGGGGGAGGAGATTGAGGGAGAGCAGCGGGCGGCGGCGGCAGCGGCAGCGGCTGCAGCAGCACAGCCGCCTGGTCGAGGTGGACTCGGCAGCGGTTCGGGTGGCGGCCGCACCCGCCGACGACCTCTGCAGAGCGCAGGCATCATGGGGAGCGGCGGTGGGGCCGGCGGGGGTAATGGTCCTTCCTCCTCGCACCACCATCACAATCCCCATCACCACCAACAGGCAGCGAGTGTCTCGTCGTTTATGCTGCTGCACCTGCGGGAGGCCTTTTTCAGCAGTCGACCAGGTGGGCCGGCACCGCTGCCGAGCAGCGCCGCCGTGAGCTCCAGCGCTGCTGTCACCCCTGTTCGTGGCGCTGGTACCCCATTGCAGGAGCCCCCTGCCGCCTGCGAAGGCGGCCTCTTTTCCCCCATCACCACGCAGTTCGCCTCGCCGCGGTCAGCCGTCACTCAGCCGGTAACGAGCAGCACCCGCCTGGAGGCGGCGGCGCACTTCGCGGAGTGGATGCTGCGCCTCGTGCAACACCAAGAGCGTGACCGACGGCACGAGCGGCAGCGGCTGGAGCGGCGTCTGCGGTTTATCTCGGCGGCCGAGATGAAGCTGTGCAACAGCCGGCTGCTACATTCGCAGTTTCTGCAGCACCACTCGATGCGGCTGCGCGGCGGGTCGCAGGCGATGCCGCCCTCGCTGGGCGACGACGACGTCGTTGTCGTTTCTCAGTCGAGCGTGCCGATGCCACCTGGCGGCGCCACCGGAGGAGACGTGAATGAGGATGTCGAACCGGAGGTGATAGCGATCGTTGGCCAGCGCCTGTCGTACCCGGATAGTGACACGGTAGCGGGTCTGCCTCTGAACAACGCCTCCTCAACGCTCGCACAAGAAGCGGCGGCGGGGGGTCTCAGCACAGCAGCAGCAGCCAAAAAAGCTTCGTCTTCGTCTTCCCGCAGCGTCACCCCGCTTGGGTCGTCCTCGGCGCTGGCAAAGGCGCAAAGAGACGCAATGGGAGGCAATGGCAGCAGCGGAGATGCCGCAGGCAGCGGATGTAGCATGCGTCCGTGTCCGTTGCCGAGTGATGCCTCCCCCTCGCACCTGACCGCCGCGCAAAACCTGTTCACCTCTTCGTCGTCTCGCGTGCTGCCGTCGTTTCCCAGTCCACCCACGAACAGCCACAGCCACCACAGCAGCAGCCACCACAACGCAGCATGGCCGTCGGAGAGCAACACGTTAATGAGCTCGAATCCGTTAAAGGGCAACGGGGCGCACACGAGTGCCGATGCGGGAGGGGGAGGAGGGGGAGCGGCGGAGCGGCAAACGAACTCGCCAAATTGGTGCGCGCCGGCCGGCAGCGGCGTCGCTTCCTTTTCCCCCTTTCAGCTCTCCGCGGTCCTGATGGATGCGGAGCCGTTGTACGTGGAGTTGGAGCGCAACGGCTGGTGCACCATCGGCGCGGTCGAGGAGATCTACCTCGACTTTGCCGTGGAGGACTCCTATTGCTTCTCCTTCTGGGCCTTTTGCCGGCTACTGAATGAAGCCTCGGCCGACGAGGTGCAGGTCGCGCTGGACTTGACGACGGCACAGGCAACGGCGGTGCTGACGAGCGCCGCTGCCGTCGAGGAGCACCGTCGAGCCGCTGCTGTGCGTCAGCTGCAGCGTCTCCGCGTCTCCCTGCCGGATGAGTCGGATGGGTGGGCGCGGCAGGTGGAGGTGGTACCGCTGCTCATCGTGTCGGAGTACACCTTCGTTGCCTTCGTCACCGCCTTCATCCACGCGTACTGGAGCATGCTGGAGAGCATGGGGGTGGACGCCGTGACGCAGCCGGCGGAGATGGCCTCACGGACGACAGCGCCGCCCAACACGTCGCCGGGATTGCGTGCGGCGTAGAACGGAGACGCGAGAGGACGAGAGAGAGCGTCCTCGAATGCGGTAGAACACAGTGCATGAGTGCGGATGGATGGTGGCGCGTACCTCAGCTGCCTCTCTCAGTTCTTTTTCCTTTTTAGATTTTCGATCGAGTTGTGTTGGCAAAATAAGAAAAGAAGGGCGGATGAGGATGGAGAAGAGTGCGAATCCGCCGCACAGACACATGAGTGTGTTGCATCCCGCTATCCTTCGAACTCCCTTTTGTTTTGTTTTCTCCTGCTAAAAAAAAAGAAAAGTATAGCGCAGTTGAAATATCTTTTTGCCAACCGCGTTTTGTCCTCCGCGATGACCCCACGAAATATATCCCCGCTTCACCGGCACTGGCGTCTATGGAGGCGGAGCGCGCTCTACGTTGACGAATGCACAACAACCGTTGTTGTTTGCTCTGCTAAATGTCCGACCTATTGTGCATTTCATTACTGTTCTTCTCTTCGGCTTTCAACCTTCTCTTCTGGTTTCTTATCCACGGCAAAGAAAAAATATATATCCCTTTTTCGAACCCCTCCTACGATACACTGCATCGCCTCACGGCTTCTTTGTTTCTTTCTCTTTCTTTTACACACATCAGCACAACATCGTAATGTCTTCCATTAAGTGGTCCGCCCCGCTGGTCATGAACCAGCTCGTGGCCCTTGCAGATCTACCCGCCGAAATACAGAAGGCGGCGCAGGCGGCCGTGACGGCGCATAAAAGGGCCTACGCGCCGTACTCGAACTTTCACGTCGGTGCGGCGCTCCTGCACGACGAGGGCAGCGTGACGGCGGGCTGCAACTACGAGAACTGCACCCTGCAGGCGTGCTGTGCGGAGCGCTGCGCCATCGTGCGCGCCAACGTGGAGGGCCGTCGGTGTGCCAACGCCGTGGCGGTGTACGGCCGCGGCTACGCGGAGGCGGCGCTGGCAAGTCCGCCGCCGTCCGATGCGGTGTGCCCGCCGTGCGGGCTGTGCCGTCAGCTGCTGGCCGAGGTGGCCGACCTCTCCAAGAACTTCGACGAGTTCGTTGTAATTATGGTCTCCTTTGATACCACGCACGCGAAGCTGGTGCGACTGGCTGACTATCTCCCGGGGAAGTTTGGACCGTCCGACATCGGTATGGATGTCGCCAAGCTGTCGAAGAGTGCACAGTAACAACCACCACAACAAAAAAAAGACTAGCGGGAGAGACGAGAAAAAAGTACCTCTTCTCTTTTTTTGTTTGTTTGATCTGGTAAGGAAAAGATGAGGTGATAGAAGTAGTCATGCCGCTTGACATGAACGAATTGCTGCCGCACATCCACGGAAGAGGTGGGCCGTGCGTGCATGATCCTGATACATTCTTTTTTTCTCTTTCCCCCTGTATTTCGGTGCACGCGGAAGATGTGCATTAAAGTTAATTATTTATCCTTAAAAAAAGAAAAAAGAAACTCCAGCAGAAAGAACGGTAGGTGCCGGGTTTTTTTGTTGCCGTTTTAAATGCTGTTGGTTTCTCCTCTTCTTCTCCTCTTCTCCTCTTCTTTTTTTATTCTCAGTCAAAAGAGGCAATAACATCTGACAAAAGGATTTCACCTCCGACGATAGTTGCCAAAAAAAAAAACACACACCCTCGCACACAAAATCTTAATCGTAATGGTAATATCTTTAAACGGCTCTGCGTATTCCAATGTTTTCTTTTTCTCCCTCCCTTTTTTGTTTTTGTAGGTCTGGCCGAAAACATGCGAGCCGCGAAGTGTGTGTCGCTCGACTTGCAAAGAGAAAGAATGGTTAGAGAACGACATTTATGTTCAAACGCAGCAAGAAAATGTGTCGGATGCACCTCACGCAGCACACCTCCATCAAATCCTGCTTCCGCTGTCCAACACGAAGAGCACCGACGAATGTCTGTTATTGGGTGGCCAGCATTTTCGTTTCGTCAAGACGGCTCTCCGCTTTTTCTCATAGCGGTACCGATCCGCATTCCTTGTCGTGTGGCGTCGAGCTCACCTCTTCACTCCTCCCCCCACTTCTTTAGCTGACTCTCTCACTATCTGAAAGCGTCTTCACTGCCTTGGTTTGTACTACACACACACTCACAACCAAGAAAACACTCCTCCACTTCATACCAATCCCACTGGCAACGGCGCTCGCAGAAACGTTGTTGCGTTCTGTGTTCGGCTATCGTTTCTCTCTCCCTATTTTTTTTTTCTTTAGCTCCCTGCGCTTCGCCAAGCCTCCGTTTCCAATGAGCGAGCCCATGACTCCGACAGCAAAGCCACAGACGGCAGAGACCACCACCACCGCTGCGGCTCCGCTGGCCGATCAACGCGACGCCCCGACCGTCGCATCGGCCGTGCGTGCGGCCCCCACCCCCGAAAGGGGCGTCTGTCCGGTGAAGGCGCAGTACCTCCGCCCCGCACCGGCGCGTGTCAGCCTCGACGCAGAGGGCCGCACGCGTGGAATGAATAAAGGTGCGGCTCGCGAGCACTCTGCGTACGTGCAGGGCACCGAGCGCCCTACCTGGGAAGGCGAGAGCAACTTCTTCCTTGGCGCCACACTGCAGAACATCAAGCAGGCCGTCCGAGCCACGAAGCAGCGTCAGCCGAAGCAGCAGCAGCGAATCCAACAGCAACAGCAGCAGCAGCAGCAGAACGCTGCATCCGCTGCGTCTGCGGCCGGGGATGTGGCGGTGGTGGTCGCGCCTGCCGTGGGGGGCGGGGCTGGCGTCGCGCCGGCTGCGGTGGGGCAGAAACGCGAGCGCAGCCCCTCCCCCGCGGATGCGCTCCCGGATGCCACGCCCCCAGCGGACGCGAAGCCGCCACCTGTTGCTGCTTTGCAGGAGCCCCCTGTTTCCGACCCCACCACTAAAATCGGCAACGACGACGCAGCCGCAGCGGGGGTTCGTTCTTCACAGACACACGAGCGGCTGCGGGACGTCGTTGCGCGGCAGTCCAGCACGCGTGGTCTCTTCACAAACAAGCTGGTGCTGGCGCCGCTGACGACGGTGGGCAACTTACCCTTTCGCCGCGTTTGCAAGTCGTTCGGCGCAGACGTCACGGTCAGCGAGATGGCCGTCGTCTTTAACTTAAACCGGCTGCAGAAGAACGAGTGGTCGCTGCTGCGCCGTCACGAGAGTGAGGACATCTTTGGCATCCAGCTGGCCGTTTCGCGACCACAGGAAGCCGCTACCTTTGCGCAGGCGCTGGAGGCGTCCGGCTTCTCGTACGACTTTCTGGATGTGAACTGCGGTTGCCCCGTTGAGAAGATTGTGAAGTCGGGTTGCGGCTGCGGGCTATGGGAGCGCACTGGCCGCCTGCGTGATGTGGTGGAAAACCTCGCGATTCACCAAAGCCGTCCGGTCTCCATCAAGTGCCGCATTGGGCCCGACGAGGAGTCGCCGACGCTGCACCGGCAGATCCCTCAGTACTCGACATGGGGTGCGGCGGCCGTCACCGTGCACGGCCGCTCCCGCAAGCAGCGCTACACCAAGTTCGCCAACTGGGACTACATGGAGCAGTGCGCGCCGCTGACCTCGCTGCCGCTGGTCGGCAACGGCGACATTATGTCACTCGAAGACGTTCTCGAGCACCGCGCGAAGCAGCCGCACGTCACATCTCACATGATCGGCCGTGGTGCGCTGATCAAGCCGTGGCTGTTTGAGGAGATCAAGTCTGGACAGGTGAAGGACATCAGCAGCTCGGAGCGGCTGGACATGCTCAAGGAGTTTTGCCGCTGCGGCATGGCGCATTGGGGCGCCGACGAGCGCGGCATCATGACGACGCGCCGTTTCCTGTGCGAGTGGCTGTCCTTTCTGCATCGCTACGTCCCTGTTGGGCTTCTGGAGCGTCTGCCGCAACGCATCAACGAGCGTCCGCCCTTCTACGAGGGCCGCGACGACTTGGAGACGCTGATGGCGAGCGACAGCGTCACGGACTGGATTCGCATCAGTGAACTGCTGCTCGGACCTGTGGAGGAACAGTTCCGCTTCACCCCGAAGCACAAGAGCAACAGCTACACCAGCACGGCGGGAGTGGACGACGGCATGGAGGCGGAGGGCTAGAAGAGCGTGCGTGCGGCTACGAGTCGGCAAACAAGCAACGTAAGACATCTTTCAGGGTATAATTTTCTTCCTCGTGCGCCTAAATCGAAGCGACTTAATCACGGTTAGAAGCCGTGCTCCTCATCATAATGGAGATGCATTGTAAAGCAGAAGAGGGAGAACAAAGAAAGAGATGCGCCGTTGTTGTGGATGGGCGTTCTTCCGCGGGTGGTTTTTTTTTTTGATAGTTTACGAAAAGAATGGAATGATGAAAAGAGTAAGAATGATACGAGGAGGATGAGGAACAATGGCTCCGACGTTTGCTGATAACATGATTTCTACCTCTACTACTCTTCCTCGCTCTTCTCCTTCGCCTTATCTTTGGGACTTGCAGAATCAAAGTTCTCACACAACTTTTGAGTTTTTTCTTTTCCACCCACCCACCCCCGTGGTTGCCCACCACGACAGGGATCCTTGGGTTTAACCAATTCAACTACCCTTGTTTGCCGCTTCGTGAGTAGTGCTACCTATTAGAAAAAATAGAAAAGGAGGAAATCGCCAAGTCTAGTGCACCATCGTCCCCCGACGTTGTAGGAAGTGGGTTTGGCAGCGGGACGCTGCGCGGGGTGAATAGATAAGATGTTGGAGGTCCATCGCGAGTATGGAGGGTGGAATCATGTCTCAGCTAATGCATCTCTCTCGGACTCTTTGCGCCTCTCGATTCTTCCATTCTCCCGAAGTACGCGGCGCTTCGGCGCGGCCGTCTCGCTGGCCCCGCTTTCCCGCATTTTTCCACCGCTTCTTGCCCCCCTCTTCCCCCCTTGCGTTTCGCTTTTCTTCCTTCCCTGCGCGCCCCTTGCTGGCTTTGGGGTCTTCGCCTGGGCGCGGTCGCATGGCCCCCCGGGGGAGGGGGGCCCTGGGGCGCCGGGCCAGAACGCCCCCCGCCCCCACTGGCCGGCGCGGCCAACCGGCGCGGGGCCGAGGCGGGGCGCTGGGCGAAGGGCCGGCGGGCGCGGCGGGCCAAGAAACGCCCCAGCGATGCAAAGCGCCGCGGT